TTTGTTCTTATAACCCACTGAGTCCAGTTAGTGCTGCCTGCTGGGATTTTGGCTAATCTTGTTGGCCTGACCCTGCACAGGTAACTGCAGCCTCAATGAGCTCACTGCAGCTGCCCTGCAGTGCATGCAACTGCCCTGTCCAGAAGACAGCGTTTCACATGCTCCTCTCCATCCTTGGGTTCTCACAGTCCTCCTACCTCTTCCTCAATGTTCTCTGAGCCATGGTGCCAGTAAGAGGGGGTGGTGATTTAGTCATCCTGTTTAGAACTGTGTCTCAGCTTTCTGCCCAGAAGAAATCCTGGACTCCACTCTCCTAGCCCCAACTTCTCCTGAACTTTAGACCCAGAGAATCTAAGGACTTTTCTTCTAGGATAGCCGTCAGGTATCTTGAATTCCAAAGCAGAGTTGGACAAAATACTTACCGAAAGGTAGGAATCCCAGTCTCCGGCCAGCCAACCTAACCAGTTTGACCAGGTCAAGGCCAGTAAAAAAACCCTGTCTCAAAAAATAAGGTGGACAGTACTTGAGGGATGACACCCAAGGCTGTTTTCTGGCCTCATGCTTGTACGCCTGCACATACACAAATTCAGACCTCACTAGTGCACACATAATTAAGGGCTCTCAATCACTCATCTGCCCTTGCCAGGGACTAATATTCTTCCCAGGAAGTGTAGCAGGCTTTCCTGGACTGCCAGCTTCCAAATCATGACACAGAGACTTATTTTTTTTTTAATTTATTATGTATACAACATTCTGCCTCCATGTATGCCCACACACCAGAGGAGGGAGTCAGATCTCATTACAGATGGTTGTGAGCCACCTTGTGGTTGCTGGGAATTGAACTCAGGACCTCTGGAAGAGCAGGCAATGCTCTTAACCTCTAAGCCATCTCTCCAGCCCTACACAGAGACTTATTATTAGCTATAAATGCTCAGCCTTATCTTATGCTTGTCCCACTACTTTTTATAAGTTAATTTAACTTGTTTCTCTTCATCTTTTTGCCTCAGGGCTTTTTTTTTCTTTCATTCTGTATGACCTACCTACTTTTCCTGCTTCTTCTATGTCTGGCTGACTGGCCCCTGGCGTCTTCCTCTCTTTCTCCCTCTCCTCTCTTGAGCCTAGATTGCTCCACCTATTATTTCCTCTGCCTGCCAGACCCATCTACTGTCTAGCTATTGGCCATTCAGCTTTTTTATTAGACCAATCAGGTTCCTAGGCTCCCAAGGTAAAACAAATGCAACACATCTTTACATAGTCAAACAAATAATCTGGACCATAAACAACTGTAACACATCTTTGCCTAGTTGAACAAACATTACACAGCTAGGAAGTCCTTTTTACCAGAGCTATGTTTCTCTTCTCTCACCTGCATTCATTTTCTGCTGGCTGTCACACTGGAAAATACCGGATTGGCATCAGAGGACTTAGTATGTTGCCCTCCTTTCTAAAAGTAGGGCTCTGTTGCCCCTGAACAGCAGCTTTGGGCCTGTTGGAAAGTCTTAGAATTCACTGGAAAAATTGGCTTAGTAACTCAAGGTCAATTCTCCTTTGACTATGTAAGTTCAATACTGTTGGCCACCATCATTTCTTGATGCCATGGAAGTATTGTCCTATGTGTGACTGGTCTTCAGTTTCTATCCCTGGACTTTCTTCTTGGATCAAACATTTTAAAATGATTTTATTTATTTATTTTGGGGGTACATGCATGGTGAATCAGAGGCCAACTTGCAGGAGTCCGTTCCTTCCATCATGTGGGTCCTGGGATTGAACACAGGGCATTAGGCTTGGCAGGGACCTTTACCTCCCTTGTCCTGTACAGATCTTTGAATGGATCTTTAAAGACGGAATCATTCTGTATTCTTGAAGCAGTCTCAGTCTTACCCATGCATCTGTAACCCCCAGCTCAGATCTCAGCTCTGAGTTCTAGGTCTAGACCAGCTGTCTCCTCTATTTTATTATCTGGCTGGCTCTCTTTCCTACCCAACAAGCACAGCCAAAACTGAATATATTTTCTCCCAGGAGACTGCCTTTCATCTTGGTGTTTTTATGCTAATTTGAAGTATTGAACTACCCAGTGTTCCTTTCAGAAATTTGGGATTCATGCCAAAATGTTTTGTTTAAAACAAAGTACAAGTTTCCCAGGCTGGTGACAAAATAGCCACAGGTTAGTAGTGCTGCCGTTCCGTAGTTAGAGCACTTGGTGGTGCTTGATAACAGAAGTTCTTTCTTGGCCCTGTTACTAATTTTACATGGTCACATAGTAACCTGACTAGATTACATGATAGTTTCACCATCCGTATGTACCACAAAAGGAGAAATGTTGATAAGATTCTCAAATAAAACAAGCTTGCAAATGCAAAGTACTACTAACATATCTTGTCAGAGTTCTCAAAATGATAGCGTTTATGAAAGCACCTGTTCTTCAGAATGAAATTGTTTTTAAAGAATGTTT